AAAAAAAAAAAAAAAAGGCTGGGCACAGTGGCTCAAGCTTGTATTCACAGAGCTTTGGGAGGCTGAGGCAGGAGGGTCACTTGAGCCCAGGAGTTTGAGATAGCCTGTACAACATGGCAATTTTCTCCCTCTACAAAAAATTTAAAGATTAGCCAGGCGTGGTGGTGCGCACCTGTAGTCCCAGCTACTTTGGAGCCAAGGTGGGAGGATCACTTGAGCCCAGGAGGTTGAGGCTACAGTGAGCTGTCATCATGCCACTGCACTACAGCCTGGGCAAGAGCAACACCCTGCCTCAAAAATAAAACAAAAAGCAGCTCAATGCTGAGAGAATCCTTGACCCAGACATCCTGGCCAGCACCTTCTCCCAAGGTCAGTGTGTGACACTCATGGGGTGTGTTGAGAGCCTGTTGTGCAGGCTGTGTGCAAGGGCAGAACGCTGTTCACACACAAGACACCGTGCAAGTAAGACACAGCTGTCAAAAGGATTCTAGAAAAGCACAGCCTATTGACAAGAGTAAGGCTGTCCCTCGGCAGTGCCACAGGCTGGCATCCCCACACACGTACTTTGAGAAGCATGTGTTTCTCACTGGGCGTCAAATACATCCTGTTCTCGTAGTAATCCACACACAGATTCACGATGTCTGCCAGGAGCTCTTCGTAGCCAGAAATCACTTCGAGCTGCTGCTGCAGAGACTGAAACACAGAGCAAGAGACTCACGCACGGGCCTGGCGCCCGGCCAGCGGCTCGGCCCATCCGCCCGAGTGTGCGAACACCAGCCTCACCTGTGTGATCTTGTTGTGATTGGCCAGGAACATGGACAGATTCTGCGATTCCTGGATGGACTGTGGATCTGCCATTTTACGTAAAAACTGAGCGGCCCTTTGAAAACAAGAAGAGTTCATCCCAAAATGCACCAATGTGCCACGTAAAAAGATAAAAAAATAAAAGCCTGGTTCGAGTGGGATCCCCTTCCTCTACAGTGATCTGCAGAAATATGGGTCAACCTCAGACGCCGGCGATGATTTCAGCCTTTTCAGGTGTCTCCGGCCCTGCCCTCCAGGTCAGTCTTCTGCCAACTTAGACGTGTCTTGCACAGCTGGGGACAGCTCTCCACCCAGCTGGTCACAGCCGACTGGCTTCCTGCAGGGTCCCTGCACACTGGTCTCTGCCCTTCACTGGTGGACGCCCACCTCATCTAGGGGGCATAGGGCTGCTGGACCCCGAGTCTAAGGGCCACTGCCATCTCTGTGACTCCCACAAGCCCTGCCATGAAGATAGCCAGCACTGCTGAGGTTCACTGCCGGGAACCCTCTGGACCACACCTCCCCAGGCCACCTCAGGGACCACTGGTACCCAAAGTCCTGAGACAGAGCCCTGGCCTGCCACCAATTTGTAGCTACACCCGACATACAATACCGCCAGGCCATGCTGAGCCCGCGAGGTCTGGCAGAGCAGGGTGAAGGTGGGGTGTGAGGATTCCCATCATCTAGGTCTGTCCCCCAAGAAAGATCAGTGGAAACGGCCCACACAAAGATAGATCTGTGCGGCCCAGAGCCTCGGGGGTTTAGCTTTAAAAGTCACCACGGCAAAGACTGATAACCTACCCCAACATTCACTTCCTCCTCTTCCTCCTTAGGAACGAACCCCGCATTTCCGTGGAACACACGTTCCAGGGAGCCTCACACGCTCCGTGTGCCTCGCCTACCCTGCAGCTAGCCGTGGTCATGTGACCAAGGACTGGGGCCATGAGATATAATGCAAGACACTGACAGGCACTCCAAAGTTTACTCATAAGGGAGCATGGAGCCCGTCTTTCCTCCTTTCTGCCTGCTGACTGGAATGCAGAAATGACAGCTGGAGCTTCAGCAACCATGTAGAACCAGGAGGCAACACCTGAAGCAGAGCAGCAGCCAACAGCGGCCTCGAGTCCTGAACGCCGGAGAGCTTGCAATCAGCTGCAGACCACCTCATTCAGGACTTTCCAGGAGACAGAGAAATAAACTGCAATCTTTTCAAAGCCACTGTTACTTCACTGGGTTTTAAACAATTGCATACAGTTAAACCTAATGTTACTGATACAGTAACATTCCTTGGCTTTTTAAACATGTTTCCCGGCCGGACATGGTGGCTCATGCCAGTAATCCCAGCATTTTGAGAGGCAGAGGCAGGTGGATCACTTGAGGTCAGGAGTTCAACACCAGCCTGGCCAACATGGTGAAACCCCATCTCTACTAAAAATACAAAAATTAGCCAGGTGTGGTGGCTCACGCCTGTAATCCCAACTACTCCGGAGGCTGAGGCAGGAGAACTGCTTGAATCCAGGAGAGGCAGAGGTTGCAGTGAGCCGAGATTGTGCCACCGCACTCCAGCCTGGGCCAGTGAGACTCTGCCTCAAAACAAACAAACAACAACAACAAAAACATGTTTCCTTTTTTTTTTTTTTAAATAGACAAAGGGTCTCACTCTGTCACCCAGGCTGGAGTATAGTGGTACAATCACAGCTCACTGCAGCCTCGACCTCCTGGGCTCAAGTGATTCTCCAACCTCAGCCTCCCCAGTAGCTGGGACCACAGGTTCACGCCACCACACCCAGCTAGTTTTTTTTTTTTTTTTTTTTTTTTTTTTTTTTAAAGAGATGGGGTCTTGCTATGTTACCCAGGCTGGTCTCAAATTCCTGGGCTCAAGTGATGGGGTCTTGCTATGTTACCCAGGCTGGTCTCAAATTCCTGGGCTCAAGTGATCCTTCTGCCTCAGCCTCTCAAGGTGCTGAGATTACAGGTGTGAGCCATCGCACCTGGCCACGCTTGCTTTATTGATTTGAGTAGTTGCTGAGGCGGCAGGTGAGGAGACTAAGGAAACAGTCAAGGATACTGTTTTCTGTTTTCCTCAAGCCTCACCATAACCACACGAGTTATCTTGGCATTGGCACTTAGAGGAGGTTATACTAGTAGCTACCAGCAGGTGCCAAAAGAGCTAGGCGCGTGTGTGTGTGGCGGGCGTCTTGGGACGGGTGGGGGTGATGGTCTGGGAGGGTGAACCAACAGGGGTCCCAGACAGAGGTCAGAAGAAGAGGCAGCAGGAAGAGCTACGGAGCTGGCCCAGGCCCACTCTCTGGTGCTCAGGGGAACCTGGAGGTGGTGAAGACACTGGGGATGGGGCTGCTGGAGGGAAACCCTCCTTCCCCCAGCTTTGCACACAGCAGCCCCATCTGTAAACTGTTTTACAGACTAGGCTTTAGAATAAAGGTGCTAGTGCTAAAAGGAAAAAAAAAAACCCCACAACTTTTAAATACTTTTAAATATTGAAAACCACTGATGCTGGCCACCTCCCCATTTCCCTGACAAAGCCAAAACGGTGGTGGCTGAGAAGGCTGCTCAAAATCACACAGCGACTGGGTTGTGCGGCTGGGACCAGGAGGTCACTGCGACCAGTGAGCCTCGATGCTGGAATCCCACGGATGCTGTCATCAAACAGGGACCATTCAGACGTCCGCCCCAAGAGGGGCTCACAGGCCCACTCCGGAGACCCTTCTCTAGTTCTGAAGATCTAGGCTTCTGTGCAGAGCTGACGATTTCAGTGATAAACGGAACACTGCCTTAGTTCACGTGAATGAGGCTTAAATTCTGCCTGACCTAGCTCGACTCCTACTGCTGCCTCATTTTGTCCCAAGTGGGGATTTTTCTTTTTATAAAGACATAACAACAGTTGTATGATTTAAAATGCAACATAACTAGAGCGTATTCAGATGCAAAGTAAGGTCTCTTCGAATTTAATTTTAGAGCTAAGATGCCTTACTTACTAGAGGAAACTGAAATTAGCATCTCATTCCAGCAAAACATGTCTTCAAAAGCACCGGGCACAAACGAAGCAGAGCATCAGGAGACAGCGCCGTGTGTCCCCGAACGCCTGTCTGCCGCCCACCACCCCACAATCCTCCGGAAGCACACGCCGGGCCATGCCCGCCTCTTCCACCCCTCCTGCCGGTCTCTCCAGAGGCTAGCTTCTCCAGAAGCTCTCTACATCCAAAAAGAAAACCGCCGGGGAGAGGACCTGGAAGCGCAGTGTGACCCCAAGACACCCTGTGACTGTGCATGGGCTACGTCTGCACGTTGCTGGATGGTGCTCAGGTGCCGGGGACCCCCACCGGCGAGAGACTGGCACCGAGGACTGCAGCCCCAATGCCCAAGGTGGGCTGCAGAGGCCACCTGCCCCCTTGCCAAGATGCTCCCTGAGCCAGATGCCTGTGCTCTGTGAGCTAGGCCTACAGCTTGTGCACGTCTGTCTTCCCAGGGGCGCGAAGGTCCTCCGTGACATCTGAGAACAGCCAGGGCACTAAGAGTCTGCTCTAGCTTTGCAAAGCCACGATATGCACTTACCTGCTGGCTCCCCTCACTTTATCCCCCAGAGCAGGTGCTCCCACAGCCCTGACACTGAGAAGTAGCTGCTGCCTCCCAGAAGTGACGACTTCAGCACACAAAGACACACACCTGCTACGCACAAGGCAGGCCACTGAGCTGCGCGCTCTCGGGAAGGCCTGCGGCGCACGAGGCCGGTGCTCACCTCTTGTATGCTGAGTGGTCGTTCTTCACACTGCACTTCATGTTCTTCAGCTCGTCCAGCACAGCGAACATGTTGATGAACTTGCCCAGTGTGATCAGGTAGGCTTCAGACACAAAGTCCTTCCTCCTCTCGGCGTGGCACAGGCGCCTCACCTCCCCGCAGAAACGCTCAATGGCGTTCCTCTGTGCAGAGGAAGCGGGGGGCAGAAAGCTGCAGGTCAGTGAGGGGCCAAGCCCATGTCCCTGCTTCAAGCACCTGCAGTCACTGCTCCTTGATGAGAAAAGATCTGCCCCACGCGGCTTCAGGCCCAGGTGTTTACAATGTGGGCAGCCAGACCCCCTCCTGAAAGCAGCTCCCACGGCCTGCCCTGCAACATCGTTACTCGTTTTGCACTTTACCAACTAGGTCACTAAAGTAACAACATCTTGCTGATTATTCCAGCAAAATTACTGAGCAAAATGATCCAAGAAAACGTCTGCAAAATTCAGACGTTCTAACTTTCAGAAGTGAAAAGTGGGAGAGATTTTTTTCCTCTTGGTAACTTTCAAGGTAAAATGAAAATTAATCTCCTAGTTAGTTCCATCTCCTCCCTCTGCTAATGGACATCATAAAAAATCTGGATGTTTCCAAAATACTTCTTTAAAAAGCAGCAGGCCCCTTTCATGTGGCTGCTTCTTGCCTAATCAAGGCCAGGGCGAGGACCACCAGGAATGGACAGTCAGGGTGAGGCTGACAGCAAGAAAATACCTGAAAGACCAGATGAATCAAAAGTACAAACTGGCCAGGTGCGGTGGCTCACGCCTGTAATCTCAGCACTTTGGGAGGCCAAGATGGGTGGATCACCTGAGGTCAGGAGTTCAAGACCAGCCTGGCCAACATGGTGAAACCCTGTCTCCACTAAAAATACAAAAACTAGCCAGGCACGGTGGCGGGCGCCTGTAATCCCAGCTACTCGGGAGGCTGAGGCAGGAGAATCACTTGAACCTGGGAGGCGGTGGTTGCAGTGAGCGAAGATTGCACCATTGTACTCCAGCCTGGGCGACAGAGCAAGACTCTGTCTCAAAAAAGAAAGTACAAACTGGCAGAAAGTCAAAGCATTGCACTTGAAACTGACAGAAAGCAGGCTCAGAAAGCAGGCTCCGTGAAGGAAACACGAAATCACTGAGAATTCTGAGAACCACAAAAGGAGCGTTGATTCCGAAAAGGCGCGAGAAACTTTAGACTGTCAAAGGCTTGGTCCCTTTTGTCTCAGAAACTGGTTGCTTTAATTTGCAGGCACTCTGTTCAGGGTGTTCACATTGACGGCAATGGGTAGGAAGGTGTCAGCAACCCACCCCTCGGTGTTATACCCCCAAGATAGGGATTTTGCCATTTTACCTGGAAGTACATAAAATTCATCAGTTTTGTGACCTCAGGCTCCAGAACCTCCACGGTTTTCTCGTAAATTTCCACTCTGTTAGGCTGCTCGTTACATTTCACCTGGAAAAAAGAAACAAGGATAACATAAGAGGCTTGGATCCAGCCAGAAGCAGCCGCTGGGCAGCTAGAGCTGGTGATCCCGCCCTGCTGTGGGGTGAGACCCGGGAGGAGAGTGGCCAGGCATTGCAGGGGCGGGGCGGGGTGGGGCCTGGCAGGGTGTGGGGAGGGAAGAGACAGGCGAGCGGGGCACCTGCGGGATGGCCCGGGGTGTGGGGAGGGAAGAGACAGGCGAGCGGGCACCTGCGGGATGGCCCGGGAGCAGCTCCTCCAGGTGTACAGCATGACAGCATATTCCTGGCCCTCCTCCAGCATCTCGTTCTGCAACGGAACACAGGGCAAATCAAAGGCAGGAGGGGGAACTAGCATGAAAAGCAGATGCCAGTTGCTAAAATCTAGACAAAGCACCATGAACTATCCTAAGCACTGTGGCCTGTGTGCCAAGAGACAGCTGCCGAGAAGCTGGTAACGCTGAGGTGTGGCGCTGGGGGCCACAATGACCACCCAAAACACCCCAGGGCTTCTGCAGGCGAGAGGGTATCAGTGACACGCAGGCATCTCTGGGGCGTGCCACAGGCATTACACCTTGGCTCCGCCCAGCCCGAAACAATCGCTGGCCACGAGACCTGCAGTCAGGAGCACAGAGGAAGGGCTCCGGGCAGACGCCCTGCCCAGTGTGAGCACACGCAGGATCCCCATGGCCTCCCTCCTCACCGGCTCACAGGGCCTCCCAGTCCCAGAGAGGACTAGAGGCAGGGCTGCCCCAGGTGTGCAGGAGGAATAGTTAGGATTTAAGTGCCCACAGCACTTAAAATCTAGGTGGAGAGTCCATGGGAAGAGGACTGTCATCACTGCTATAAAACTGCTTTTGCTTTCTACTCTTTAACATCATTTCCTTTGGTAAAAATCAAATAGATGCTCTTAAATCTAGCCTATATTTAGAGAGATGTTCATCACAGCTTTTTTTTTTTGAGACGAGTCTCGCTGTCACCCAGACTGGAGTGCAGTGACGCGATCTCAGCTCACTGCAACCTCCACCTCCTGGGTTCAAGCAATTCTTTTGCCTCAGCCTCCCGAGTAGCTGGGATTACAGGCGTGCACCACCATGCCC